CCCCCCCCCCACACACACACACACACACACACAAAACCCCAACAATGTGTTTTCAGACAGTGGCCAGCAATTACTTTCATTATCAGCACATCCTAATTTTTTCTTTAATAACTGTTTGATTTTAGTGCATTGAGTGAAAAATGTCCTTCATTCACTGAGACCCAGTTTAACATCTTCACAGTGCTCAGCAAACTCAGAGATGTGGTTCAGTATCTGACAAATTTGAGAATTTGGAGTATTATGATAGACGAGTAAGATGACCTGATGGTTAGTGTGAACCATGTCCACAGTTTCTTTCTCTTTGTCTCTGTTGGCTTTGAAATAAAGACAAATTAGTCCACCTCTAATCGCCTTTCAGCCAACTAACTGACCTCTGACTGATCCTTGGGCTCCCAGTGCAGGTTAGTTTCTGGGTTTTTGGAGTAGGAATGAAACTTTAATGGACAGTGGGGATCAGTAGGGTCCCAGCAACAAATGCTCCAGCTCCTGAAGATGTTAATCTGGATAAAATGTGCCAATTAAAGTGAATTAAGACTTTGGATACAGCTGTTACCCCTGCACCCAGTGGTAAGCTAATTAATTGTGTGAAGCCCTGTGAGTCCCGTGTCTAATCTTCCCAGATCAGAACAGAATGATCCTCAAAAAGAAAAGAAAAAACAGCAAAAAGATGAATCTATTCTGCATTTCAGAGCAGAATAAGAAGAGCTCGGGGTCTGACCTGCTTCTGAAAGTGCAGGTGTCCCTCGGCGGGGATGTCCGCGGAGCTTCTGACCAGACTGCGAGCGATGAAGCAGTAGTAGACAGATATGATGAAGAGGGGCATGATGTAGAAGATGAGGAATGAGGCGGTGGAGTGGATCTTCGGGTGGAGCTCCCCCGCGTGAGGGTAAGGGGCGCAGGTCACAAACGTCTCATTGGTGTGGCTGGTGGTGAAGGTGTGCAGGTCGGAGAAAACGGCTTCGGGCACAGCCAGAGTCACCGAGAGCAGCCAGATCATCCCTGCGCGTAAACCGATGCTCAGAGCAGCACTGGACTTGTTGATGTCCAGCGGTTTGACGATAGCCTTGTACCTAGAAGAAGAAACAGCATTTGTGAATGAAGATGAGCTCAGTGCAGTTTCTTCATTACGCATGCAATCAAAAACAACCCCCCAAAAAAGAGAAACGATTATCTCATGGCTGATTTTTTAACAGCAGGCACGGTTGATTTTTTTCTAATCAAACCAAATTATCTCTCTGTGGCAGAGAAAATTAAAGCAGGCTTTGAATGAAAGGAAGCAGAAGATGAGAAAAGCTCCTGTGGCGGAAGTCAGAATGCTAATTACAGCTGGTGTTAAATACTCCAACTGTGGCTCAGTGTTTTCCTACAAGATATCTTAGCAGCAAAGCAGTGAACAAACAGAAAAACACTTTGATGGCTACGCTGCAATCAGCTTGATTAACTGTCACGATCTTCCTGTGTCTTTATTAAATTTGCAGGATAATTAAACACACTGGAAACTAAAAGCGTCCTCGACATATTTTCAAACATTTGCTTCACTTCAATTTTCACCCGGAACCTGTTTTTGATCTTAGTTCAGCACAGTGACTAATAATCCTCGGACGTGGACTCATCTATGCACGTGTGAAGTCAATATCTCAAACAACAACAACAAAAAAACAAACAAAAAACAAACAAACAAAAAAACCAAACAAAGTAAACCCTTTTGGCAACTACAGGAGAATGAAAGAATATTTTTTAATGATTGGTTTAACCAACAAGAAAATGTTTTCTTTGTACTGAATTCATGATTTTCTGGGGCAACAAAGTCATTGTTTAATTCTCAAAGATCTGAGGAGAGTCTGACAGACAGATATTTTTCCATTTTTCTGCTCAGATCATTCTTTTTTCTTTTTCGCCTCTGACTCTGTGCAGGGGTACGGGCCCCCAAGTGTGAAGCTTTATTTATATTTAATCAATCTATACAAATAATAGCGCACTTAGTATTCCAACAAGAGCCTGATGTTTATCGGGTTCCTCTAAAATCTCATTTAAACCAACAGAACCGATTCTTCATTTAACCCAGAGGATTCAGAGACACTGCAGTGGTGCGTGCTTGTTGTTGCATGTGGGCAAATATGAACACTGAGCATAAGATTAATAGAGATTAGCTCAGGTTGCTTTCTAAATATAGATTTGTTTTTTCAAATATGTTAAACCATATACTGTTTTCATTTATTAAACAAATTGTTATTTATAAAATTCCTGCAGCATTTTAAAACATAAATCGAGAGAAAAAAAAACATCTGCCTGGCACTGATTCTAAGAGCTATTTACAAAGAGGAGTTAACTGAACTACACAAACAGTCAAATAATCAAAATATTTTTTTGGAAGCAATTTGACTGTTTTAAAATTAGACTTTCTACATCTTGTGTCTACAATGCTGGAGCCATGCGTAAAAGCGCATTTCCCTCCATCATTTGTAAGCATATTATCCTGCCGTTAACACAACAGCACAAAGAGTTATAGTAGCTCAGACTGGCTGTGTGACAAGTACCGGTCAGCGGAGAGAGCAGTGAGAGTGAACACGGAGACTCCCACAGAGGTGAGCTGGATGAAAGGGATCAGTTTGCATCCGACGCGGCCGAAGAGCCACTCGTCCACCAAGTACCGGCTGGCGTCCACCGGCGCGCAGGTCACCAGTAGCAGCAGGTCCCCCAGAGCCAGACTGGACAGGAATAAGTTGGGCACCGTCCGCATGGACCTCACCAACAGACACGTCTTCATTAAAGTGACATTTCCAATCAGCCCCACGATGATGATGATCCCGTAGATAGCAGCGATGCCGATACCAGGGAGCCAGATGCTGAAGTGGTGCTGCTGCTCTCCTGCGGACTCCCAAAATACCCTGGAAACATTCAGGAGCAGAAGTGTGCTGTCCTCTGGGGTTAACAAGAACGACTCTTCCAGCGACATATCGGCGGTCTTCAGTCTACTATTTCAGTCCTAATAATCATGCCTTTGTTGGCTGCTTTTATAAACGATACCTCCCTGCTCACGCGTGCGTCACAGGCTTAAAGAATGGGGGGTATAGTGTGATCTGACAGAACACTTACCATTATGTGTTAAAGGCACTTAAAATCAACATATTCCTCACTCAGAGGCTGGGAGGGCTATTTACATGTTTACATACACATGCTTTCTAAGTAGGAATCCAAGAATATGATTGATATGAAGGAATCATCCTTTCAGTGAAGGCTGACACCAAAGGAGTGCGTAAAATTGAGGTTACGCTGCGCATTTGGTAACAGAATGATATCAAGATGCCTTAAAGATCAGTATAACTCACGACTTAACATCAACATAAAGAGATTTCACATATGCCATCAAGTGGATTTTTTCTAATCATACTGGTTAACAATTGACTTCTATTGGATGTGCTGTGGAATTCAATATGAAGCTATTAAAAACGTTAGGTTGGACAGCACTTGTAAAAGGAAAATGAATTATGTAGCTCAGCCACACAATATTTCGCCATTTTGTACTCAGCATAAATGATCTTTATTGAACATAACGTGCTCTGTATATTGCTTATGTTCATGTGTGATGTTTTTCAGGAGGCGGCGATGTATGCCAATAACTCATACACCTACGTCTCAACAGCTTCTTGTCACTTGGTCACTGTTTACATTATTTATCAAAAGACTGCTTCCTGATACAATCTGTACAACATTCCTCTCTTTTTCTTTGGATGGTGTTTTCTTGTCAAGCTGCAAACAAAACACGGTTTTCTTCTGGAGATACATCAAAGTTGGACAAAGTCCAGCTTCTGGATTGTCATATTGGCTTCATTTCGGCTTCTTAAATAGGGAGATAACACGTATACTTATGACAAAATGTCACCATATATTATCCAATATGTCCCGCTTTTAAGACCTATGCAGTGCCTCTATCTGGCTCTGAACCAGGCCTTATATTTCATGCTGCTGAAATCATCAGTTACATATTCACGTGTTACTGATGACTCAGCAGCTTTATGGTCTCCTCAGTGTAGGAGGAGAGCTGTTAATTTGACCAGCTAGTGAAGGTCACATCTTTCAAAGTTTTCTGTTCCCCCTTATTTTCCAGGTAACTTTTCATCATCACTATTGTGATGGAGATTTTTATGATTCTGCTTGTTCTCTGTGTCAAACTGACCTCACTGAGTGAAACTCAATAATCTTTCAGATATATCACGCTGATGTACGAGGTAGCGTTTGCACACAATATTCTGAGTGTGCTATCTGACCATGACAGATTGAAAGGTTTTCTCTATATTATGACTTTACAGAGGTGTGCACAGAGTGCTGTCAGGCTGTGTGTACTGTTGTTTGAGCCTTTTACAAATGTAAAGAAAACTCATAAAGCTGACTGTGCAAAAGTCTTAAAATCGTGCCCCAGGGCAGCTGTGGTTACAATGTAGCTGCCATCACCAGTGTGTGGATGTGTATGTGAATGGGTGGATGACTGAATGTAGTGTAAAGCGCTTTAGGGTCCATAGGGACTAAGTAAAGCGCTATACAAATACAGGCCATTTACCATTTAAAATAGATGTTCTAGCACCAGCTGCCACAGAAATTACTCTTTTCATTGGTTGTATCTCGCTTAGAAATGTCTTTCTGCGTGCAAATCCTCCACCAGTCTTCTTCAGCAGGGTTCTCTCTGCTGAAGCTCTGCAGTCTTCATGCATGTGCCACTGCTGTACATGCTCTGTGACACAATCTTTTATGCAGTGTGAGCAGGTGTCGAGAATCTTTGACTAAGGTGTAGATAGGAAAAGTACTTCAAAATAAAAGCATGCAAAATATATACAAACATGCATAAAAGCATACTATAAAGCTAAACCAATAAAAGACGCAATAAAGCAGTAAAACTACTTATATTCTGTAACAAAGGCAACCTGGCTGTGTGCACTGAGATTTATTTCAAATTTCCACAACAAATGCGATGACAGAACTGGGATCCCATCTGGAGTCTGAGATGGGCAGTGACTGGTTATTCTGGAAAAGCTTTGTGAGCCTCTGCCTTGGAAAGTTAAGAGATGAAGAGATCTTACCCTTTTTTTTTTAACCCCAGACCAGCTCCACAAGGATCTCCAGGAATGGACTGTGTTGTTCTCAGAGGTGAGATATCTGAAAATAATTGCTGTAAGTTTTTAAAATATATATTTTCTTAGGTCGCCCTAAGGTTTACTGCTGTTGTGACTGTTTCTCTTGGTTGAGAGTCTAGATTTGTGTTGAAAACACTGTAGTAGAGATGAAGACCAGACTAGGAATTTGTGAGCAGGGGAAATAAGTATGGTAAAGAAAAGCCAGTGGATTACATGGCTCCAAATGTGGTTTCATGTGCAGGAATAATATGGAGATGGAGCAGTGCTATACATGTTCGGTTAAAGCATTTTAGGTTTCCACAAGGAGAAGCATTCAGCAGGACATATCTAATAGGTTCTTAAATGACCTGGCCACAGCAGACCACATACCTTTGGCTACGACATTTAGTGTTGTGAGTCTGTCTATACTGACAAGTTACAAAAAAAGGGGGGAAAAGGGAAATGAAAGTACAGTTTACAGACCGATAAAGGCACCATTGATGTACCATTTGATGCCAAAAACATTAAATGGGAGAATCAAAGTCACAATACTGATTTAGGCTTTAATGATGGTGCTGAACCATTCTTTCAAAAAAGGACTAAAACCATATAATCATATCCCTGGATCTGAACTCTATATAGTCTGAAGAAGCTTTTAAAAAGTGGCTTTTATCAGGTAAAGCTCGATACGGACCAGAGTATGAACACAAGAAATGTGCGAATGCAAGATTTAAATGTGCAGCGTGCTTTATTAAAAGAAATGAGCATGCCATGAGGGCAAACTCCATGCACAAAAAGCTGCTGCAGAATAATTTGTATGAATTTTGGAAAGAGGCTGTTAACAATAGTAAGAGGCCTCTGGCAGCCAGTCCTGATGGGATTTCTGGGGCTGAAAATGTTGTTGAAATGTGGAAAAAAGCTTTGTAGGGAATTTCCTAACTGTGTTAAAAGCGATAAGTTTAATGTTGGTGAGGTTTCTAACAATGAGTGTGTTGTTAGGCGGGATGAAGTGTGCTGTGCTGTTGAGAACTTGGCAGGGAACAAAGCATGGAGCCCTGATCTGTGCAGAAGAATCTCAGCATTACTCACATTGTATTGTTAATGCGTGGCGTCCTACCAGACTACATGTTAACTGTTCTGTTGGTACCAAATAGAACATTTTCAAAGACAAAACTGGTTAAGTAAAATCCAGCCCAGAAAACTACAGGTCAGTTGCTCTGACTAGCATGCTGTCAAGGCTTCGAAAATATAAAACCACTAATATTCAGCTTGGTTTCAGAAATAAACACAGCACTGATGTGTGCATACAGGCTCTGAAAGAAGTTCTTCTAATATACAGCAGCTAAGACAGCACTATTGATTCAATTAAAAGCATTTTGTTGTATTATTCATGGTAAATTCGTACCATGCTACTTACATCAAACTAAGCAAATCTGATGGGGTTAGAAAACTCTGGGGTTCAGCGAGGTGGGATATTGTCTGTCAGCTGTTCAGTTCAGCTTATTTAGAGATGATCTTTCTAAAACACCAAACAAGCAGGATACTGGATCGTGATGGAAGAGAGCCTTTTTAATCATTTGATGTTTGCTGATCTTGACGGCTTGCAGCAGCTGCAGTTTGATTTTGAATTCAACCCTTAAAAATAATGTAGTAATGATCGCTTCAGCTAAGGTGGACTGGAGGCAAATATTCAGTGAGGTGACTAAAGTTAGATATTTGGGTCACATCATCAGGGATGATCTCCGTGATGATGATGATGATGATGATGATGATGATGATGATGCACCCTTGTGGTAAACTGTATGCAGCAGCAAATGCACTAGTCTGTAAATTCCATATGATGGATGATGTTTTTAGAGCACATACTCATACAGTGCAAATAAATGATATGAAAGTTGCTGGGTGGCATATAATGATGCATTCAGGATCTTGGTTGTTGTGCTCAGAAGTCACATTTGACAAGTGTAACCTAAATGTGATACGAATGTTCCCTTTCATGGGTTGCTTACAAATCTTACACAGAAATTTACATGTCGGTAATTCAGTGCGTTTTGTCCTCATGCCGTCTTTTATTAATTTTCTGTTCTTTTATATTCAAATGGACTACAGTGTCTGAAATAAAGTTTCTCTAATGTAGTTGGAAGGGAAAAAACATAATAGAATACAGGAGATAAAAGCCAAGAAAAATATGAAAGATTTTATTGAAATGCAAAATCACCTGAAGACATTAAGTGTGTGGAAATGTGACGCAGGGACAGAGAGAAATCTAAAGAAGAGCTCAGGAAAAGAGAAAAGAGGAAAGGATGAAACCTATAAATTCTGGTCACGGCTCTCCTCGGGCTAGTCAGAATGGTCACACTGAGGCTCTGAGGAAAGTCTTGACCTCCACTGCCTCCACCACCACCATACAACAAAAGATGGACAGCTCACAGCGGCAGCAGACTCTTCCAGTGATTCTTTACTGACCACAGCCCACCAGCAACGAGCCCTCATTGGAATGCATGACAACCACACCAGTGTTGAGTCCACCACACCAGACAACAACAAGTAGACCCTCCAGCTGCCCTACAAAAGTCCACAGTAGTCTTTGGCCCTGGTCAGAAGCTCAGATGAAAGAAGTCATGGCTCACGACTCGTTTCCCAAAAAAGGCATCAGCACACAGTCTGGTTTGGGATGATGATGACAGGGAGGTGTACAGAGAGGTCATGTGAGGTCAGACAACATTCACCTTGAAAATAACCTCAGAGCAGAAGAAAGTGGACAAAGAGATTCACATGTAGGCCCTCGCTTTTGTTAAGGTCCGGGGTCTCTTACCCAATCCTTTTGGGCTTTTTGGACTTTTTCCTAGTGTCCCACCTTTTTGTGTAAAGCCTCCATCAGTGATGTTATTTCCTCTTTTTATTTTGGTGACCTGTGTCTAGTGTGTTTGGCATTTAGTTACTCTTACCTCATTACTTCATGCATTTATTGTCATC